ATAGTTTAAATCTGTTACTTATGCTGTAGGTTATGCTTCGGTTTTTAGCTAGGCTATAGTGCCCTGCATTGAGATTAAGCTGTAATCTCCTTTCCATTTAATATAAATCTCTATTTTCTATCAAAAAAAAAAAAGTGTAATTACTTTTGTTAATTTTTTTGTCTTATAATTTTTTTTCCTAAATAGTATATTAAAATATTTAGACCTATAAGTAAATTGTAAACTAATATGAGCTAACATTTATCACCATCAATTGACAGAAAACACCAAAGTAAACAATGCCAAACTTTGCGAAAATGCTATATATTGTTTAAACTATATACGTCACTTTCAAGATTGGTGATGCACTGATGATCACTAGTGTATTTTTAATATGTATTTTAATACAAGTTAATGATGTATTAATTATATTTTTTAAATTATTGCATATTTTAACTTTTAAGTCATATAGAAAAAATAAATGTTAATTTTATAAAGAAAAAGAAAATATAAATGTTAATTTTAATTTTAGCAATTACTCAATTAAATTAATGTAAGTGGAATTAGTGCTAAAATAAATATCATTTTTTATTTTTTATATGACTTAAAAGTTAAAAATACATTAATTTCACCTTTAACTTGTAAGATAATGACATATGTTAGAACAATTATAAAAAAAAAAAAACAAAAAAAAGTTGTAAGATAATTAAATAGTTAATAAAATTAAAATTAATTTTTATTTTTTTATAAAAATTAATTAAAAATATAATTAATACATTTATAATACTCTTAAGACACATATTAAAAAGACTCTATTTTTGTAAATAAAAATATAATTAATATGCCTCTAATAAGAATTAATACAACAATTATATAAAGAGGTGCCGAACCATTTCAGTCATGCAATATGAAAGTTTTGTAAAAAAACTGTCCAGAATTCAAAACTCAAGCCACTGAAATGATACCTCAATATATCTGTTGCATGATTTGCATCGTTAAATACTTCAAACAAGAATTGGATTGTTCCTTCTTTGATACGGGATTATCACATCATGCTACCACCGA